TGGGGTCTGCCACGCCTCCTTCTGCCTGTTACATACATTTCAACAAAACCATTATACCCTGATTTCCCATTTTCAATGGGTTCAGGGTATAAAAAGGTCTTAAATTCATATCTATATGTACTTTGTATATAATTATGCCCATTTCTGATTTATGATAAATTTCATGCATACAGAAACTAGGGAAATATAACTGGTTTCCAAGGGGCTATAATGAGCTTTCAGTTGGGTAGTTAAACGAAATTTGGTGTGAGACGGGCTTAGTCTTACATGATCATATATATGGATATATGTTATAAGTATATGTATATGGAAATCTAGTGAATATTTTTACTTTACTCCTTACATTCAAATAATTTATTTTAACTGATTTGCCTGAAGCCCGAACACAAACCAAATTACAAACCCATTTTATCAAATAAATAGAAATTTCCTACTAGAACCTATTAAAAGAATAGCTATAACACTCTTATCATAACCACCAGCATAGTTATATCTATCAAAGTAAAAATTTTTTTTTTTTTTTTTTTTTTTTTAAAATTGTTAAAGCCATACGAGGTTTTTCAATAACCCCTTTGTGAGCTTATTATCTGTTCATTCAGCCCATTAGGGCGCGCCGGCATTGCTATCGCAATTTACAAATATTTACAACACAATACAATAATAACACAATGATGGCATCTATATGTCAACTCCTGTTGACAGTCATCCGGGGCGATCGGAGAATCAGGTCCCATGTTTGTCTCCTTTTAAGCCTCCTAGCTGTTCTGTTTGTAAAAAGTAAAAGTAAAATGAATACCGGAAGACAATATGTGGGCCTAATGGGATCTAATTTCATTAGAAATAAGTTAAAATAAATATAACCAGAAAATTCTGAATCACTGACCGACATTTAAAGTTTTGGTAAATACGTTCCATAAGAAAAACAAAATATATATTCAGTTTGTGGCCTCATTCATATAAATGTTTATTTAGTTAAGACTAAACAAGAAAAATGCTTTATTTGCCTCGTTCTCTTACTTGCAGGTGGCCTGTACGAATTGGAAGCGGGTGCTGATGCTCTTGACGGGCAAATGGCAGAACGGCACGGATCCGTTGATGATACCTGGTGCGCTGGCCCATTCGGTGGGCATGTTCACCAAGTTCTCTGACCTCAGTGAGGAGGAGCGCGCGCAGGTGTTCAGCGAGGAGTACACACGCTTCATTCTGGTGCGACATCCATTCGAGCGGCTGCTCTCGGCGTATCGCAATAAACTGGAGGGAGGTTCGCCTAGTGCCAGGTACTTTCAGTCGCGAGTGGGTCGACAGATTGTGCATGAGCTGCGACCGGGCGCTAGTAATGCGTCCCTGGAGCTGGGCAACGATGTTCAGTTTGGCGAGTTTGTGCAGTATCTGTTGACGCCGGAGCTGAGTCGCACCAATCAGACGGATTACAACGAGCACTGGGAGGTCATCGCCAAGCTGTGCAATCCCTGTGTCATGAAGTACAACGTAGTGGGTGAGTGACAAGCTGGAATACTCAAATCTGTCGCAATTACTAATGAATCTATCATAACTATCCTGCAGGCAAATACGATACATTGCTGGATGACTCCGCATTGGCGCTATATCTGGCTGGTGCCAAGAACTTGACATTCCCCACTGGCCACAAGCCATCCAGCACGCGTGCGAATCTAAGAAAATACTTTGATCCTCTGCCAATTGGCGCAATACGTCGTCTATATGAGATCTATGAGGAGGACTTTCGTCTCTTCGACTATGGCTTAGATGATGTGTTGGGCTTTGAATTCGGCTGATATCACTCTGCATATATATGCACATGTATGAACTATGTGAGAGTGTGTAGCAAAATGATTTGAATTTCAATATCCATATCATTTATACCTGGCATGCTTATGATGTCACTCACTGTCCATGTCATTAACCCTTGTGACCATGACGCTTTCCAATGGAAAACTTTGTGATTTTAGCATAGAATTAGGGTAAACTCAACAAATACTTAATTCCAATTGTTATATAATTATTTTGCATTTAATTCAGCGGCATGCGAATATTAGCATATAATAGTAATATACTCTAAAGCGGTTTATGTTAGAAATAACTATAAATAACTTTACAAATATTTGTATTACCAATGCATAAATTAATTTGTATATTAAGTAAACTATGTGTTCGTCAGCTATCATGTTTTTGGATATAGCTCTCTATATAAATATGTCTCGCTGTCATTATTAGGTATATATTAATTTAGTATGAAATATATTCCAAATATATATAAAGAAATTAACAATCTGAATTTCCCGGTAATTCTGCCAAAAATTTTAAGTTTCAAATAGTTCACTTTGTACTTTCGATATCTGGTACTCGATTAAACGATATCTAATCTTAGAAACCTATATCGTTTCGGTTTCGTGCGTATTGCAATTCTATGTAAATTTTTAAAGTATTTTTTTTTTAAATTTGTTAGTTTATAATTTTTAGTCATGGCAATTTGTAGCCAGATCACTGTACTCTAGTGTAATTCACAAAAAAATAAAAATAAATAAATAAATAAAATGGTAAATGCTGACAAATTGTGATAAAGTAAATGGAGAAATTTGTAGCTTCTAAATATGTATGATGTATATGAAATGATGAGTACTTATTTCTGCTCTTTTGGCCAGCTCAATCTTGAAACTCAATTCCAAAACTATAAGATTTCAAGCCTAATATGAAATTAATTTAAATGTATTATTTCAAATTATATTACTGTTTTTTTTTTTATAAATATTTACTCAATAAAATTAAATACTTCATATATAAGTAAAAATATATACATATATGTATATAAAAATTTTATTTTTCTTTAAATTCGATTGAGTCTTAAATCAGGTATTTGTAAACATTAAATAACAGAATTAATATGTTAAGTTTAAGGGAAATGGAATTTGTATGGAATGATATTTCCTGGCTGAGAGCTTTTTACGTTATTTTTCGCGGCATCAATGAACCTTCTTATCAGGTGTATTGCACGTATACGACGCGATAAAAGGCTTTTTATAGTAACATTCCATGATTATTGACGCTGACAAGCTTTTGCAATCGTAAGGCAAGCCCTCACGATTTCATCAGAAGCTTTCAAGTACTGTAACGGCAACAAACGTAATATAAAATTGTATATGCCTATGCCGGTATTTTTCTACCCTGTATACATAAAATTTCTGATACATACTATTTTTTTTATGATTTCTGAAAACAAATTTTTGTATTGTTTTCTCCAAATGAAGCAAATGTTTCCGGAGAACTTCCCCAAGTGTATGGATCGTGTAGCAAAAAGCTTTTCATAGTGTGCACAGCCGCAGCGGTCGCTGAAAAATAAGCTATTTGTTTTCGACGGCGCGGCGCAGCGTCGGCGTCAACGTTGTTTATCACCAACACATGGGCAGGCAGACAGACAGCATAGGCGTATATGTAGATGAAATACAACTGAATTTTAAATACGCAGTTTTTGTCAATAACAAAGTTCAGGCGCCGCAGGCAAACGCATTCTGCACGATCATCAACCCGTGGCAATAATTTGGCAACGGTATCCAGCGGTTTAACAGCAACAACCTGCCCCCACAAAAAATCAAGGTCATTTATTAATTTTTTACACATACATATTTGTATGTGTGTGTCTTTCGCTTATTCAATGACTGTTGCTTTTATTCAACAATAACTTAAAGTTAAACATTGACAAGACATTCGAAAATAACAATGTTTCGCATTTGTATGCTGCTTTCAATAGGTGTGTGTGTGTGTGTGGTTCTGCTTGTGGTTATACATTTGGCTTTGTTTTTGAAAAAGCAATATAAAAACAAAAATAAAGCATATTCATATATCATATTCTCTTTTTCAGTCCTTCAATTTGCATTTCCGCATTAATCATTATAACGCTGCTTAATTGTTCGATACTTCTTTAGCGAATATAACGCTTCCACCTCTTTGGCGAGGTATCGTCCCTGTGCCAACAGAGCGACGATCTTTTTGGGATCCTTCTCATCCTTATTCTTCATGAAAGCATCGTGGACTTGCTTACGAAACTTTTGCGGCCCATTTAGGCCGGGATAGTCACGGCCCAGGTACTGTAACTGCAATGGAATTTACGCAACGTTATTACCGTTTGCCCCTTCCACATGCGCCCTTGCTCCACAATCGCTGCTGCAGCAGTGCAGCTGCACGTGCTTTGTGCTGGCAAATGTTTGGGTTAATACTTACGTGCTTATAGAGACTGATAACTTTCGAGCGCAGCTGTGACATCACCAGTAATAAAAGGTATTTGTTTTATTGTTAAATGCAAAATATAAACTAAACCTTTATATTCTTTGTTGCTTTACACTCGGTGCTCAGATGACCAATGCCGAAATACTGCCCGTGTGACCGTGTATGAAACGGTTATACAATCGATAGCTCTTTCACGAATATAGGTGCAGGTAAGTTGGCAGCACCATGCGAAAATGATCAATAAATACAGTTGCTGGCTAAATTTATATAAATATGTTATAGCTATAGAAAATTCAATACATCTTTGGACTTTTATTTTTCAGTATATAAATATAGCTTGAAGTCAACTTTTATTATATGAATTTCTTTTTTGCAATAAATGACGTCGTGCGTTGCAGCATAGCGATAGGTTAATAATCGAAGCAACCTTATTATTTGGATTCATGTGACAGTTAAGGTTAAGCAGAAACAAGTCAGTTGGCAGCACCTATTTCAATGTTCGTGTCGGCCGGCCGGAATTTAGCTGGACTTTTTCGGTAGGCTGCGCAGTTGTAAAAACCTAATTATTTTCAATTATATTAATTTGAGTTCTCACAGTTATCGCAGCATTTCAACTACCTGCGCCAGAATGGCAAGTGAGGTAGAAAAGGCGCAGAGCGCAGCCGCATCCGAAGACACCATATTCGGCAAGATTCTACGCAAGGAAATTCCATGCAAATTTATCTACGAAGACGACAAAGTAGGTGCAAAGGGCAATTAATCTATTTAGTATCACTATCTGAATTGCTTTCTATTATAGTGTGTGGCCTTCAATGATGTTGCACCCCAAGCGCCAACCCATTTCTTGGTCATACCACGCAAGCCGATTGCGCAGCTCTCCACAGCCGAGGACGGAGATGGCGAGCTTTTGGGCCATTTGTTGATGGTCGGCCGGAAGGTGGCCAAGGAGCAGGGCTTGGAGAAGGGCTATCGTGTAGTCATCAACAACGGACAGCACGGCGCCCAATCTGTCTACCATTTGCATTTGCACTTCCTGGGCGGCCGCCAAATGCAATGGCCACCCGGCTAATTCCAGCGTTGCCTTGAATCAACCCAAATAAAGACAATTTGAAGAGAAATAAATACAGCTTATTCAAATTAAAACTACAAAAGTGAAATGTACAAAATATACAGATAATAGCATATGTAAATTCAGTTACGTTTAGCTGGAAAAAAATGTTTGAAGTCGATGGCATTGTTGAGAAATTTGCGTAACTTGGCTTCGTTACGCGATTTCTCCGCAAAGCTGTCGGTGTCCAAGCAGTTGAGCAATATCTCATCTGTGCTCAATTGGTCGGCAATGCCGCCCGAGCGGCGCAGCCGACGCGATTTCAACATATCCAATTTGGTGCCCACCACTAGGATGGGCACGTGGCGACGCCTCAATATGGGACGCAGGCGGTTGTGCCGATATCGGCAGATCTGGCGCAAGGGCTGGTACAGCAAGTCGTGCAGATTGTCGTGTGTGCGCATATCTAACAGATCGTACACTAATATAATGCCATCGATGTTCCGGAAGAGGCGGTTCCTATGCTCGCGCGGCATTCGCATGGATCTCTTTAGATCATAGAATTCCACAAAATATGGAATCATCTCGCATGCGCTTGCCGCCCGGCTACGAAACCCCTTAAACGAGTCAAACGGCTCGGAACTGTGCGACGATGAGCTGGGCGACGAGGACGATGTCCACTCGGGTGTGGGCGGCATGTCCTTATTGGATGGATACTCGTGCAAGCGCACTTGCACACTCCACCATAGGTTGCCGACGCTCCTGCTGGAGTGCGTGGGCGTGTCAATGCTTCTGGCCAATAGATCTGTTAGTCGCGACTTACCAACACCTGAAAATTACCAAGAGAGTTCCAATTGATTCACTATCATCAGATGGTAAAGGACTACGAACCTGCCTCGCCGAGCAGCAATATGCGTGCTGTGGATACGTATTTTACTGTTTGATCCGTCATTATTGTTCCAATTATCTTGTGAATATGTATATTTCATGCCTAATCGCTGTCAAATGTAATCCAATTGAATATGTAATTGGCCAACTTTGATCATATAAAAAATTTATTGATGGCAATTCCTTTGGCGGTTTGACAATCAATGGAGTTATCGAATTTGTTGTTAACATTTCGATTAAAGAAAGCCAATAAATTTCTTCAATTTATAGCATCTATAGAATTCAGGCAAACTTTTGTTCATGGGATATTATAGGAAGTGAATGACGTCACATTATGAGAGCAGAAAGCGCAGCACCTTCATTTCTATTTATGTATTGGCCGGTCGTATTGGGGGAGGAGCAATAAAACGAGTTAAAAGGATAGTTTTAATAGTTTCAAACATTTGTTTATTCTTTATAAACATTCATCATTTCATGTCATTTCATTTGTGTGTTCACATCAGTGTGTTTGTGGTTTAATATATCTACAGACGCCGTTATTTTCGGTGTGCGGCTGGAGCGTCCGCATACATCTGCTATCTGCTTTAAATTCTTTTGTTTTGTTTTGTTTTTTTTTTTTTGTTGTCAATTTTGTTTTATTTGGAAATAAAAGTATATACTTGTTGCTTGCAATACAGTTGCACCATATATATATATACGTATATATAATGTAGTATGCAGTTTAATCAATAATATAATTTAATCGTTTTCGTTTTGCAGTTATTCAGTTTGCAATAAAGTTTTGGTAAGAGCTTTTAAAACATATACATGTAAGTATTATGTATATATTATATACGAGTTTTTTTTTGTTGATCATTTTTATTTGAGTTTTATCTTTCATATAGTAAATATAATTTGTTTAAAATTCGAAAAACAGCTATAAACAGTTTATCATAAACAACAAAACTCCGAAACGAGCTTAATGATGGAGTGGTGGAGAGTCCCACTGCGGAGACTGTGGTGAGAATGGTGGTGTCGTGGTGAGTATGAGTCGCCAGTTGCTTGCGACTTCTGCGATAGCCGATACACGAGGTAACGGTTAAATAGTTGAATCGTGTAAACTAATGGAGATGCCCAATAATGGACCACACTCAATATATGTATGCATGCTATGTGTGTATGTATGTATATGCATGTACATAGGATGCATAGGTATTTATATATAATCATGTATGTGGTATGGTTATTCTTCATACTATGCGGTGCTGCACTGATTATGTATAAATCTTCCATAATTTTGTTTACTATTCTGTTATTCTGTTTGGTATATATATATATATATGTATATATGTGTATAAAATGATTTGCAATTTGTCGCAGATTGTTTGCCTATGTGGGGTATGTAGGCATGTATGCATGTAAATATGTATGCCATGTATGCTATGATATATTCCATATGTATGTATTTGCATAATTCAACATCAAACATTTGCCCTATATTTTGGTATACCTAGTTATACTTATATATGTCTCGCTTGCTCTTTATTCATTCAAATATGTATGTATATGTTACATGCCACATACACGCGCATCGCTATGTATGTATGTATGTAAGTGCGATTTCTCTGCCAGCTTCCATTCGTTATGCCAATTATTCAGGTGCGCTCTCGATATATATGTGTGTATATATTTATGTATCGTATGTATATCGTATTTTTGCTGTTTTCTTATTAATTTCGTTTAGGATTTTTTCTCATGGTTTTCGTATGGGATTGTTAAATGCATTTATGCCTGATTTATCGATTATAAATTACATACATAAATATCTAAAAATAAAAATACATGGACATCTACAGCTTGTGGTATTTCCTTGAACTATTATTTATGTATATACTTTTTTTTTATACATATTTGCATTACTTTTTGATTTTACTGTTATATATTTTTTGTTTTTGGTTTTCATCTACTGATTTGTGCTTTTTGTGATGGCTCCTGCGCTGCTGCTGTTGCTGCGGTTTGCATTGAAAACGTTTCGAAATTAAACAGTTTTATAGACTGAGGTATGCCTAACGGTAAACATGCTAAATTGATGTCTGCCTAACGGTAATCATAGTACATCCATGTATTTTTTTTTATAACTTTAGTTTTAGTTTTGCTTTACTTCTCTTTTTTTGGTCAGTTCATGGGTGGCTCTGTGTGTGTGCGTGTGTGCTTGCGTGCATGTGTATATATGTGTGTGTGGGTGTGTGTATGTACATGTAGTCTGTTAAAATACATTGCTCTACAAAATTGTGTACGGCGTGTGGAAAGAATTGTAACCAAACTGAAGGAAAACGCAAATGAATTTTCTTTTCTTCTGATAATATTCATAGTATATATAAGCATATATATATACATATATGTGTGTTTATATATGTATGCATATATGTATACACGCATACATAAACATATATGTATATATATACTCATATGTATAACCATATATATGTATATATATATATATTCATATATCATTTGCCTTTTATTCATTCATCAGTTTAAATCAATAATCAACATCATTTTATATAATTTCATATAATTTGTTTAATATTCAAGTATTTTGTTGGTTGGTTTTTCATATATATAGTTTGTTGTTGTTGTCTTTTTTTGTTGTAAGTTTTATGTCGTTTGTGTTTAGTTTTGATAATTTACAGTAATTATTTGGAAAAGCAAAGTAAGTATTCTTTTTTTTTTTTTTT